TCTCTTTTTTCGATTTTAAGGAATATCTCGGCTTAGCATTTTGTCACCATGTTCTCTGGGTGCATATGTAGGTAAGTAATTATCTACGTTGTGTACTTGGAGAACTGGGGCGAAATGCTGCCGGATTTTCCTTAAAATTGGAAAGTTGGCATACATTCACTAGTGAGATTAGACGTTCAAGGATGGGTTAGGTTGGAGTGATAAGGACCTTTTGGGAGCATTCATTTTGTACACTATATGCATGAATGATATAAATACATACTATGTACTTTGATTATATGTTGCATTTATACATTTTTTATAATGTGTTGGTATGTATAAAGGCAATTTAAAACGTTGATGGATCGCGGTTGGATGTATAGTAGACGTGATACGTTGGAATTCTTTAATGGGGTCCAAGAGTTTTGCGAGAGTGCTTTACAATATTAGATCAGAATGGGTGTGAATGATCTTTATTGTCCTTGTGTCAATTGTAATAATGTGACAATGGCCGACAGTGTTGATACAATAAGGGATCATGTGGTATGTCATAGGTTTAGGCCTCAATATCATGTGTGGGTTTGGCACGGTGAAAAGGGATCGTATAGGGAGAATGTTGTTGGGAATGATACGCACGATAACAATGCCGAGATTCGTGCAGAAGATGAATATGGTATTGATGATGGTGGAGATGGGGATGATGATGGTGGAGAGGGGGATGAGATCGAGGACGCTGGTGGTGATCACTTGGATGAGATGATGCATAATTTTGAAGGTTAATTTGGTGACCGATGTGATGTATTTGAGTCATTATCAAAGGCTGCCAAAAAGCCTTTGTATCTTGGGTCCAAAAAATACACCAAACTCTCAGCCGTGCTAACACTTTTTAACATTAAGTCAAAGTATAACTGGAGTGACACTAGTTTTACTTCTTTGTTGACTGTGTTATGTGACATGTTGCCTGATGGGAATGAACTTCCTAAGTCCTACTATTATGCAAAGAAACTCATGTGTCCATTTGTTTTGAATATAAGAAGATACATGCATGTCCTAATGATTGTGTTCTTTATCGAAATGAATATGAAGAGTTGGAGGAGTGTCCACGTTGTGGTAAGTCGCGTTACAAGAGAAAGAGCTGCAATGCTGGAATGAAGGGACCTCCTGCCAAGGTGTTATGGTATCTTCCCATCATTCCAAGGTTCAAGCGTCTATTTTCAATACCAAAAGATGCTAAGAACTTGAGGTGGCATGCAGAGGGAAGAAAGAAAAACGGTTTGCTGAAGCATCCGGCTGACTCCCCGGATTGGAAGAACATCGATATGAAGTTTAGGGCATTTGGTGATGAAGTCAGAAATTTAAGGCTCGGGTTGTGCACCGATGGTATGAATCCATTTAGCACTCTTAGTACCCAACATAGCACATGGCCGGTACTTTTAGTGATCTACAGCTTGCCTCCGTGGTTGTGCATGAAACGAAAATATGTGATGCTGTCACTATTAATAACGGGTCCAAGGCAACCTGGAAACGACATAGATGTTTACCTAGAGCCCCTTGTTGATGATTTGAGAAAAATGTGGGACGAAGGAGTTTCTGTTTTTGATGCCCATAAGAACGAGATGTTCCACTTGCGTGCAGCCCTTATGTTGACCATTAATGATTTTCCCGCATATGGCAACTTGTCTGGGTATAAGAACAAAGGGCATAAAGCATGTCCTATTTGTATCGATGACACACCAAACGTGTACCTTGAACACTACGGCAAAGATGTGTACGTGAGGACCCGAAGATTGCTTAGGCGCGATCACCCATATCGTAGGCAGAAAAAGGCCTTCAATGGGAAAGTAGAAGAGGGGGTTGCGCCTAAGCCATTGAGTGGACATGAGGTGTATAGTCGAGTGAAGGGTATAGCAATTGTTTTTGGTAAAACATTGAAACCTTTAGACCCACATGCTCTCTTTAAAAAGGAATCGATCTTTTGGAAGCTTGAGTACTGGAAAGAACATGATGTTAGACATTGTCTCGATGTGATGCATATAGAGAAGAATGCTTGTGATGCAGTTGTTGGGACAATTATGGGTATTCATGGTAAAACAAAGGATGGAAAGAGCGCGGGATTAGATTTGGAAGCATGGGGGGTTCGTCCAAAATTGTGGGTCCAGCCAAAGCTAGGGAAGGCCAAGGTAATGGAAAATGAAAGCGAATATGGTGGTAAAAGGCGTAAGGGGGAGCGCAAAGGAAAGGGCACCAGTGTATCAAATAACAAAGATGCTGGAAAAAGCAAGAATGAAAAGGTTTATTTACCTCCAGCTTGCTACACATTGTCAAAGGAAGAAAAACGAAAGTTTTGTGCTTGTTTGTATGACATTAAGGTTCCATCTGGTTTCTTGTCAAACATGAAAATATTCATTTCTTTAAATGGGGAAATGAAGTTGACTAGTATGAAATCACATGATTGTCACATGATGATGCAAGTATTCTTACCGATTGCAATTCGTGGTATTCTACCGAAGCACGTGAGAGAAGCTATTACAAGCCTTTGTTCGTTTTTCAATACCATTTGCAGCAAAGTGCTAGATCCTTTTACACTTGATGCTCTCCAGGCGAATGTAGTTGTAACTTTGTGCAAATTTGAGATGTATTTCCCACCGTCTTTTTTTGACTTAATGGTGCATTTGGTTCTTTATCTGGTTCGTGAGATTAAGATGTGCGGTCCAGTCTTTATGAGGTGGTGTTATACTTTTGAAAGACACATGGGCACATTGCAACATAAAGTCAGGAATCCTGCCCATCCAGAAGGTAGTATGATTCAAGGGATTATGGCAGAGGAGATTGGTAATTTCGTGGCGGAGTATGTTGCTGTTGCTGAACCAATTGTGCTTCCCACTTCCCGACATGAAGGGAGACTTGATGGTCATGGCACACTCGGGAAGAAACGGATCTCACCTACTTATGATCAGTTCTTGCAAGCTCACCTATTTGTGCTTCATCATGTTGCGGAGGTTCACCCATATTTAGAAGAGCACATGGATAGTTTGCGTGCGGAATTTCCATCAAAAGGGGAAAGGGCACTAATGCAATTGCATAATAAGATGTTTGTGATGTGGTTCCATGATCGAGTTATGCGTCAATTGGATGAGAGTGTCTCTGATACTATAAAGTGGCTAGCTTATGATCCAAAGGAAGATGTTTATTCTTTTGAGGGAAATGATATAAATGGGTATACATTCTGGACTGAGCATCGTGATCAGAAATCATCATCGACTCAAAATAGTGGTGTCACTCTTGTGGCATCATCAAGATAGTTTGCAAGTGCAAGGGATACAACACCGGTTGACGCACAATTATCCTACTACGGACGAATTCAGGAAATATGGGAACTAGATTACCGTGAGTTCAAGGTAGGCCTATTTAAGTGTAAATGGGTCGATAATATTAGGCGCAACGTCAAACATGATGACTTCACTCTTGTAGACCTTGGCCACTTGCAGGATAGTTTGGAACCATTCATCCTTGCATCTCAAGCTAAGCAAGTGTTCTATGTAACCGACCCAGCCGATCCAAGATGGTCCATCGTCCTTGCTAGCAAAAGAAGAATTTTAGGGGTTGGAGATGTTGAAGATGAGGACGAATATGATGCGTTTGATGACTCGCCCCCTTTCACCGCCCCTACACTTGATGTAGCAAATGATAAAGACAAGGATACAAATTATATTCGATCAGACCACAATGAGGGAATACTCGAATGAGGTACAACGTTTTAAGCATTTTCAACCTGTAAACATGTTGTGTATACCAAATATGAGTTAGTAGCTCATTTTTGCCATTTTGAACTTATTTTGCTCCTATAACCTTGCATTAGTATGAAATCAATTAATTTTAAGCATTTTCAACCTGTAAACATGTTGTGCATACCAAATATGAGTTATTAGAAGGATTATATGTGAACTAGGAATGAAGACAAAGAAGTTGGGAAAGTTAGTAGCTCATGTTTGCCATTTTGAACTTATTTCGCTCCAATAACCTTGCATTAGTATGAAATCAATTAATTATAAGCATTTTCAACCTGTAAACATGTTACTAATTATTTGCGTTTCTTGTGGTGGTAGGTGTCTGAATAAAATGGGAGGTGATGAATATCTTCACCTCGAAGAGGATATGGATGATGAAGACATTGGTAGTTCTCAATCTGGTGACGAGTGTATGATGTCAACAAGGAGCAAGATTTGGGTGAACCAGAAGACCAAGCTCATGATGACTTGCAGCGTAGGCTTGATGCTTATGAGATGATAGCTGACCGTGCCCCCCCTATTATGGATAATATTGTCTCCGAGTTTGTACAAGATTCACAAGGACAAATGCAACGTTAAGTGAAAAACAGTGGTGGTGGAAAGGCACCGGGGAAGAGAAAGGTTAGGGGTGCAACAAAAGCCTTTAAGAAACCCGGGGAGCCCATGATTCTTGAGTTTGACGAGTTGAGTCAACCTACTGGGGAATGGCGCAGCAAATATTCCACACACATTGGGATATTGACTCGTAAAATACCCATCACACTTGACTGGGCAGAGATACTGAAGGGGTTGCTTCAACTATTTTGGGATGATACAATGGTAAGTGTTTTGTATTTTAGTTTTTCTCATAAAACTTCGTACAAAAATCAATGTGCATTCACCGAAATTAACCAAACTAATTAAACCAAATCAATGTCCATTGACCGAAATTAACCAAAATCAATGTGCATTCACCGAAATTAACGTGCATTCACCAAAACCAATGTGCATTCACCGAAATTAACGTGCATTCACCAAAATCAACGTGCATTCATCGAAATTAACGTGCATTCACCAAAATCAATGTGCACCTGCCTAGGGTGCTGTGTAGCTGCCTAGCATGGCTGTGCAGCTTGCCAGGGTTGCTGTGCAGCCTGCCTAGGCTGGCTGTGGAGCCTGCCAGGGCTGCTGTGCAGCCTGCCTAGGGTGGCTGTGCAGCTACCTACGGTGGCTATGCACCCTGCCTACGGTGGTTGTGCAATTTATTTATTTTTTTTCTTTGTTTTGCCGTTGACTAACATGTATGTTTGCCATTCTTACAGAGTGTGTTTAATATTCCTGATGATCCAGAAAAGAGAAGATCGTTTGAAGGTTTCGTACAAGAGAGGTTCAAAAACTTCAGAAGTTCGTTGAGAACAAGATGGATCCATAAGAAGCAAAGGCATAAACCAAAGAAAACTGTGAAGGGTAATGCAGGAGAGGAGGAACCTGAGAAGAAACCGTGGGATGTATATCCGCAAATAACGGTGAAGGACTGGGAGAAGTTTGTGGCAAAATCAACTACTACTACTGCACTTGTAAGTAGTTTCATATACATTACAGTTGTTTTCACAATTTTTCTCACTACATATTATGATGCTAACACTTGATAATGTGTAGGAAAAAAGTCAACAAGCTACGAGCAATGCTGAGAAGAAAATGTATAACCATCATATGGGTTGTAAGACATTTGCGGAAAGTAGACCAAAGTGGATCAAAGAGGGTCTATACCCCGCATCCAAAATACCGTCATCTGATAAACCGCTTCCTTCCACGGTCACCAGTTTAGTAAGTCGTGCAAATGATTGGTGGTGTGCTATGCATGGGATCGACAAGAACACTGGGAAGTACGTCATGCACCCGGATACAAGGCCAGTAGCAGATGCACTAGTAAGGACCCTTTGACATTTATGGTAATATTCCACAATTATTATTAAATATTACCGTAGAAACTACAACTAACTTAGAACTGGAAACTTTTTGTGTTGTTGCAGCTCGAGCATACGTCGGAAGTGGTTGAAGGCAAGCTCACTCCAAGTGTAGAGAACGATCCTTTTACCTTGGCTTTGGGAAAACCATTCCACCCTGGGCGAGTCATTGGTGCAGGAGGGAAACAACTAGGGTGGGAAAAGGTTATGGGTTTAGAATACACTAGATCAGGAAGAACTAGATCTAGTGTTAATTCGCCCCACCATATAAATGCCAAGGAAATGGAGTCAATTAAGGTGGAGATACGCAAAGAGGTGCAAGAACAATTGCAAAGTCAATTTAATGCCATTTTGAAGCACATGAACTTGCCAACCATTTCTTTGCCCTCGATAACCCCAGTGGACTCATGTAGTCACCCAAAAGATGCCGGGGACAATCCACATGAGATCGAGGTAATTGAATTACAGTTGAGAACATGAACTTCATATCATAAAATGAGGCCTTATGTTCCATATTTATTTTACTATTGCAGATTCCTACTCAGCATGCAGAATCAAGGGGGATTGTAAGCCAGACACCTGATCCTTTTCCAGATGTTCAGGTAAATTTCAAGTCTTAATGAAATGTAAACGTATTAGCTTACGCTGGTTAATTAGTTCATAACTTGTCCTGATGAACTGTGTAGGAAGAGACGCCTTGTGAGCTTCTTCACCCCGATAAAAACGTGGATGGAGAGTTGGTGGGGTATGGTAGCGCACAACCGTTTGACAATTGCCATTTTAAGTCTAATACTAGTACCCACTATATCTTGGTCGGGATCAATTCCATAGTACTAGGGTTTGAGGACTTGCCACTACCGGTGCCTAGAGAGGAATATGACTTCATCACGCTGCTTGATGCGAAAGGTAGCTTTGTGCAATGGCCACGTGATCGGGTGAGGTTGATAGGAGGGGTAAGTGTACACTACTTAGCTTGTTTTTAAAACATGTCCCAAATAGCTTGTAATATAACCATGTGTTTTTTTTGTTACAAATGAAAATCAGTCATCTAATAGGAACAAGGTGGAGAAGCCAAAATCTAAGAACGTCCAACCTACAAAGAACATGGAACAAGGACAAGGGTTGAAGAAGAGTTCGAGAAGTTCTGCCACGAGTTGTACTCCACTAGTAGAAGCCGACATCCTGAATTCGCTATCTAGAGCTTGTACTTTTCTTCACAACCGAGTGAGTGAGTTGCCTAGGGGTAGATCTATTGAAGTGATTTTACCTAAGGCATTGTTCCACTATGATGAGGATGGGATCGCACCAATTGCAAAAGAGGATGTGAAGGAATTTCTATCCGGTGCCATGCTTAACATTTCCATCATTCAAGCTTTCATGAGGTATTGCAATGCAACTATTCCTAATCATTCTGTTGCATTTTCAAATGTAATGAAAGCTTTTAATGATAATTCCCAACAATATTGTCTTGAAGGGCACTACAAGAGCACCTTAGAACCAGTGGCGATTCTATGGCTGCAGTTGGCTGGCTTTGCCCCGAGCAGACCTTGCTTACCAGATGCTTATGCAGCCCTCGTGATGTTGAAGATTACCTAGAACGGAGTATCAAGGAATCAACGCTTGCGGGAGATAAGTTCATATTAGTCCCATGTTTTGAGGAGTATGTCTACAAATGTCATAAATTTAGTTGTTCTTTTTTTTAACGAACTGTGGCGTATAGTTGTTGATGGTTTTTCAATATATGCAGTTCTCATTGGACCCTTTTGGTGATTTGTGTTTCCAAATACACAATCTACCACTTTGATTCACTTCGTCAGAATCCACCACGTAGGTTGTTAGTGAATAATATATTGAATAGGTACATATTGCTTCCTACAGTTGTTTTACCTCACCAAAATCATTGAGTATTTATGTTTCTAACTTTGTACTTACTTTCCTAAAGTGTTATGAATAAGCTACATCGTCGTTCTGTTGCGGGTCCTACGTGGGAATATGCAAAGGTAATCCCTTGAGTTAGTGATTTGCTTAATATACTTGGCTTCGGTTATCGCTATGCATGATTTGATATCCTTTGTGGCATGTCAGTGTGCGCAACAAGACAACAGACTTAACTGTGCCTTATACGTTATGAAGTTTATGCTTGACATAGTCAATAGTTGCAAGGAAGCACAACAACTAGATGAGGTATGCTTTTACTATCTTCAACCTAATAATTGTTTCGATAATTGCACTGAACAAAACACACGCATAACTTGAACCGAACAAAACACAAGCATCACTGCATATGCAAAGGCACGCTGCCATGCTGTGTGCAGCAACCAAGGCAGGCTACCGGGCCACCGTAGCAGCCAAGGCAGGCTGCCAGGCCACTGTAGCAGCCAAGGCAGGCTGCCAGGCCAATGCAGCAGCCAAGGCAGGCCATGCCAGGCCACTGCAGCAGCCAAGGCAGGCCATGCCAGGCCACTGCAGCAGCCAAGGCAGGCTACCAGGCCACTGCAGTAGCCAAGGTAGGCCATGCCAGGCCACTGCAGTAGCCAAGGTAGGCCATGCCAGGCCACTGCAGCAGCCAAGGCAGGCCATGCCAGGCCAATGCAGCAGCCAAGGCAGGTCATGCCAGGCCACTGCAGCAGCCAAGGCAGGCTGCCAGGCCACTGCAGTAGCCAAGGCAGGCCACGCCAGGCCACTACAGCAGCCAAGGCAGCCAGGCAGCAGCCTAGCACATCATGCACGTGATGCATGTGATTTTTGTGCATTTCGGTCAATTTGGTGATTTTCAGTGAATTTCGGTGATATTAGTGCTTTTCAGTGTTGTGATACTTGTGATAATGTTTGGTTTTTTTTTTTTTTTTTTTTTTTTTTTTTTTTTTTTTTTTTTGTCTCTAAAGTTTTGCAAGGTTAAAAAGGAAGGCCCGTTAACAAGGAAGGAAATCAATGAAGTTCGCGACTTGTGGCCTTTTTTTGTCACATTTGATGGCATCTAGAATCACCGTATATATTAGCAGTTATATTGGTTTGTTAGATTTACTTTTAATTATTAATTACATATTATTATCAACATTATTTTAATTAAATATGTAATAGTATGTAATTAGAAATGATGGTGTAATTAAATATTGTTATTCATTAAATATATTAATGGTGTTACTTTTTATGTATATAATTATTTCGTGTTACATATATTATTGTATTATTTTGTAACTAATATTAATATTATTATTAATTAATAATATTAATTTTATTATTAATTAATAATAATAAATTTTTATCGATTAATAAAATTATTTTAATACTAATATTGAAATTATTGTGAAAGGTCACTAATGTCTAATATATAATATAATTAGTAATTAATTTTTTTTTTTTTAAAAAAAAACATACAATTGGAAGCGGTTTGGCGCCAAAACCGCTTCCAATTGTAGGTTTATTTTTTTTAAGAAAATGGGATTTGGAAGCGGTTTGGCGCCAAACCGCTTCTAATTCTCAATGACAATGGCAAGCCCCCCAAACCGGAGCGGTTCAAAACCGCTTCCAATTAGGGGTTTGAACCGCTTCTAAATTAGTTTATTCTACTAGTGGAACTATATAGGCATCTCCATTGTTGAGAATACCTTAAGTTCGTAAAACTCCAAAGCTTATATTTTGTCCGAGTCCTGACTAACCTTCGGGGCTTAGGACGATCGGGTCGGGTCTGAGGGTACGAACCGTCGGAGGCCTTGCATTTTCAAGGTCGAAGTAAGAGCTCTATTAGCAAGCGAAGCACGCGTCTAGGGTATAATTCTTTATCCCTTATTCTTTTAATTACGTATTAATGATGTTTTGCATGCTTTAATTGCTTTAGTTATCGGGGCGGGTCTTGAGGGGTTTCTTTCCGCGTAGTAAGGGTCACTACGAAACCCTACCTTTTTTCACACTGTAGTGTGCTAAAGATCTGCATAGATAAGAATACAAAAGATTCATAGCATATTCATAATATGCTTTTCAGGGTTTTGTCACTAGTTGCATTATTAGAGGCACCTCATAAATAAGTGTTTTGCTTGTTATGTTAATCCTTGGTGGTTCGTTTATGACTACCTAGTATGCTGTCAATCTTGTGGCTGAGGTTGTGTGACGGACTTTAGCTTGACTGGCAAGAATTAGAATTAGTTAGTAGCCGTGACAGAAGATTACAGTTGCAAGTGTTTGTAAATTGGAATGCAATTGTGATTATTAATATGTTGAATTTTAAATCAATTCTTGCTATTTTAGACTTTTTTGTGCTTGTGTCTTGATGCTTTTGTTAGGCTAAGGGATGTTGTTTGGTTAAAAGCTGACTGTCATCATTGAAATTGATAATGACTCAAATCCATCTTAAAAGGAGAAATAAGCATATCATTCATATGTACCTTGTGATATTTGGGCTAGTTATGCAGCCATGTAGGATCTAAACACGTCTCCTCATTTAGAAGATCTTGGTTTAGGGTTTTCTTACAAATTTGCTTCTTAATTTGATTTTTCCTTTGTTTTAGTTAGCTTACATTTTTTCGGGTTTTTTTTTTTAATAATTGTAGAACTCTTCAGTGCTATGGATTCTTCGGTTGCTACTGATTCTACCAATGCTAAAGATTCTACGGATGTACCTTTGGAAAGGAAAATGTACGTGTTTTCTTATTTGCTCATTTTATGTTTTCTTGGTTAGTATAATAGTTGTTATTTGCTCATTTAGCAAATGAGCAAAAAACTGATTGCTCATTTCCCAATTGATCAAAGAAATGTTTGCTTATTTTACAAATGAGTAACTAATTATGTCAAATGAGCAAACTTAAACTAATGTTTGCTCATTTGACAAATGAGCATCTAAGTTTTTCCTCATTTGTTAAATTAGCAACTAAATATCTGCTCATTTAACAAATGAGCAACTAACTATTTGCTGATTTGCTAAATGAGCAAAATATTGATTGCTCATTTGCTAAATGAGCAAAATATTGATTGTCCTTTGACAATTGTTCATTAGATAATTTATCATCCTATGCTTCTCTATCATAACATACGTACTCCAGACCCTCCCCTAAAGTATCCTCTTCACTACACCTCCAAAAAAAAAAATCTATGTGATATTTTGCTTTTTTTTTATGATTTTGTATGAGCAGGAACTCTACTGAAAAGGAGTGTGCTGCCGATGTTGGTTCATCAGGAGCTGTAGTGGCTGTAGAGTCTAAGAAGATTAGTGCATCTATAAAGCCAGAAAACAAGCAGAAGAGATTCAAATTAGTCGCTACTAAGGGTAAAGGAAAAAAGGTTGAAAAAGGAGTGAAAGAAAAATAGAATATGAAGTTCGAGGATCCTGATGGTGAAGATGGAGGATTGAATTTAGGGGATGTTGTTAATGAAGTGCAAGGATCGAAGTCTGTGGTTTATGGGACGTTGCGCAATAGGATGTCGCCTTCATCTGTCGTTATTGTTGTTAAGAAGCTTTCTGAAGATCAGTTGATTGCTATTAGAGCTATAAGATTTGGGTCCTTGGAGTTTTTGAAAGTGTCCCAACTGCCTTTGCAGTTGGGGTGTTGGTTAGTCAAGTACTTTGATGCTCAGAGTTGTTCCTTGAATATTCCTGATTCCGAGCCTTTTAAAATTACTGAACAACATGTACATGAGGTCTTAAGGTTACCAGTTGGAGGCATGGAAATGGATGCAAATGTTTTTTCCAAGGATAATAAAGTCATTACCCAATGGAAAAAACTACTCAAAAAGAACTCATTATCTGTCAACATTGGGGAGCTTTCGATGTATTTGAAGGACCATAAATCAACTCGGCCAATGTTCAAATGCAATTTTGTAGTTCTTTGTGTTTCCACATTAATGTCAGGTAGTCTTTTCATTTTCATATTGCTCATTTTACTTTCATTTTGATCATTTTAATTTCACTTTGTTCATTTTACTTTCATTTTGCTCATTTTAGTTCTTCTTTGATCATTTTAATTTAATTTTGTTATTTTATGTTAGGAGGACAAAACAATAATGTTAATCATAACATTATCAAATATTTGACTAATGTTGATAAAATCAAGGATTTAAATTGGTCGAAGTTTATCCTTGATTCTCTTGTGAAGGCGAAAATGAAATGGGATAAGCTTCCTACTCGATACTTTCCAGGATCTTTATTATTTCTTATGGTATTCCTAGCGTTTATTTGAACTGTTTGCTCATTTACAAATGAGAAATGAACTATTTTCTCATTTGACAAATAAGTAAGGAAATATTTGCTCATTTGTCAAGTGAGCAAATAATTGATTGATCATTTCACAAATGAGCAAAGAAATGCTTGTTGATTTAATGAATGATTAAAGAAATGTTTGCTCATTTGACAAATGAGCATCTACCCATTTGCTCATTTGACAAATGAGAAACTAACTATTTGCTCAATTGACAAATGAGCAACTAAGTTTTTTCTCATTTGTTAAATTAGCAACTAAATAATTGCTCATTTGACCAATGAGCAACTAACTATTTTCTCATTTGCTAAATGAGCAAAAAATTGAATGCTCATTTTCCAAATGGTCAAAGTATCATTACACTTTTTAACAAGAAAACACACACAAACACACACACACACACACACATTAGACATACACATACATACATACATACACGCACTCACAACCTGTAATAGAATCTAAAATCAGATTTTGAAATCAGTTTCCGAAATCAAAATTGTCATCAGGTACTGAATTGAAATGTGTGGGTAGGTGGCAGTAGGGGGTGGGGTTGGTATTTTCTAAGGGTTTTTTTTTTAAAACTTTTTATGTATTAATTGTTATTTATTTGTTAAGTTTTTATGCACTAATTTTTCCTATCTTACTTGGTTGTAGCTTGTATATGTTTATCAGTTTGTCATTGAGCAAGTTAGAGGCAAACGAGAAACTCCAGTTCTCAAAGGTTGGACAACCAATATGTTGTCTAGTCGTGAGAAATTGGAAATTTTTAATGGGAGGCTTGGACTTGTTGTTAAAAATCTGAAGGTTGTTGGTCCTTCTGGCAACAAACAACCAAAACTGGTATTTCACTTTCAACCAATACTTAGCTTTTCTATGCCTTTGGCATTGCTTGTTGAATAGAATTGGAACAAATCTTTCCTTTAGGAAAATCATGCAATGTGGTGCTCTATATGGTACATCAATGGATCTCCTAAATGAGCAAAAATAATTTTTCTCATTTGTCAAATAAAGTTCAATTTGCTCATTTTTATATGACTTTTGCTCATTTCATATTCACTTTGATCATTTGATATTTACTCTTTTCATTTATATTGCTTCTAAATAAATTGGAACAAATCTTGCCTTTGCTTGTAGAATAAGTATCAATTTGTCAAATCTCATTTTATAAGCTTAAGCTATAATTTGTTGAGGTATTTGTATGACCACAAATGGTCCCAACTTATTCTGACTTTTTTTTTTTTTTTAATATTTTGCATTTAGGAAACATCCGTTCCAACTGCTCCACAAACTAAAGAAGATTTTGTAGTAGATCCAAAGAAGGTATTTATATGATTTTTAATATTTCAATGTAGATCTAATATTAATGTAGTTTGTTTTTCCATGTACATCCGTTCTGACTCAATGTTTTGTGAAGTTTATTCTGTGAAGTCTTGTTACTGGTTGACAAAATTGGTGGGTTTGGAGTAGCAGCAGCAGGTGGATAATGATGTAATGTGGCGCTCTATATGGCGCATCAATGGACCTCCCAAATCAGCAAAAAAATATTTGCTCATTTGTCAAATGAGCAATTAATTTTTTGCTCATTTGTCAAATGAGCAAAAACTTTAGTGCTCATTTATCAAATAAAGTTCAATTTGCTCATTTTTATATGACTTTGCTTATTTCATATCCACTTTGCTTATTTGTCAAATGAGCAATTAATTTTTTTGCTCATTTGTTAAATGAGCATAAACTTTACTATTGATTTGTGTAATTAAATTTAATTTGCACATTTTATATGACTTTGATTATTTGATATTCACTTTTCTTATTTCTTAATTAGTCTTTTGATTTATATTTATGTTATTTATGTTTTTTTTTCTTCTAGAAATGCCTTATGGATCTTGCAGCAGCTTCGACTAAACTAGTGTTGGCATACATGGACTTAATGAAAAGCATGAACAAGCTGTCAAATATTTTCCTCACAATGAGAAAATACGGAAGCTGAAGGAAGATGCCATGGGTATTTGTGACGAGAAAAGATTGAGTTCCCAACCTATGCCGAAAATCATAGCCTTTCTTTTAGCCAAGACGATGAGTATTGGCAAGATCCGGCTATCATTGAAGCTTGGGATAGATTTTTCAGGACTTCAGCTAATGAGAAGAATGTTGAATCCTCAGTCTTTGCTAGGGATGATTGTCCAACCGTAACATAAGTCATTGATGTTACAAAGATTGCTGCTGAAAGTGTTCAGATAGCAAATAGTCTTTCTGAAAATGAAGGTCCTGCTATTGTAGTTGAAACTGAAAAAGTTGAAGGAGATTCAAGTATTCGATCTAGATTGAGATCTTCAGTTAAAAAAGGATTTGGAACTCCTACTTTCAGTTTAGGATTTGATTCTCAAAATAGTGATGATCCGGAGAACTCCCCAACCACTGTACGACCTTCAGTTGCTGCTGATGCTGATGTTCCTCTGAGTGGAGATGTTGGTCTTCTGCTGCAAGTGGTGCTGATGTTCCTGTTCTAAAGAAGCATAAAGTTCAACCATCAATGCTGCTTAGATCACCTTTTAAGTCACGGATTATCAACATTTTCTCTACATTATCAAAAGTTCAGAAAAGTATCTTGGAAGCTCTGTTTGATGATGATAAAAATCGTTTGTAAGTATTTTTTTAATTATAGAATTTGCTATCTTGTACACTAACTCCCATTTGTTTTAGTAATACTAACTTCCTTAATTCCTTTATGTAGTGAAAAAGTATTTTTATCCAAAGTTAATGGAGAGGATGATGTTGAAATCATGAGATTTCAACTTGAAAAGCTTTATACTCAAAATAATATTGATTCAAAAATCATTAATGCTTGGTGTAGTATTCTGAATTATAATGAGCAATTTAGAGACTCAAATTCTCCTGCTCGTTTCTTTTTTAAGCTTACTGCTACTGTAAGTTCATATTCTTTCATTTATTCTGTTTCATTAAATTATTCTACAGTTTTCCTGTTGTATTTTATTTTATTTTTTTTCTTAAACATGTAGGATTGTCTTGTTCATTATGAGATTGATTCTATTAGTCATGGGAATGCTATGTTTCGTGAGGTTGCTGAGAAGTTATACAACCAAACTGTTGTTCCAAAGAAGGACATTCAACTTTTCTTCTTCCCAGTTTACGAAAGAGATCATTATTATTTGGTATGTTTCAACACTACCACACAGTATGGTAATATCGAAGTTATTGATTATAGTGAAGATTCCGGATATCACAAACAGCTTTTAAAACATTTGGTATGACTTAAAAGTTAATGTCTATTAACATTATGTTCTCTTATTTTGGTAAAATGATTAGATTTTAGAAATATCTATTATGTTTGCTCATTTGATGTGTTTATTTTCAGAGAAGTGCATTTTGCAATTTTATGCAATATGGAGGAAATGTACAGAGCTCTGTGTTGTCAAGTGATATCAAGCGCATGGAGTATGCTGCGATTGATTCTCCTTGGAAAATCATTTGCACTGTGGAGTTGCATTGATGAGGGTTATGGAAACATACATGGGTTTGTCAAAGTGGCCTTCAGGTCTGAAGAAGAATAATGTAAGTCTTTCATATTATAGTATCATTAATAATAAGATGTTTTGGTCTTATTTGCTTATGGAAATAAATCTTTCTCATTTTTCAAATGAGTAGCCAATAATTTGCTCATTCTTCAAATGAGCAAATTATTCTTTATTCATTTGTCAAATGAGCAAATTGTTCTTTGCTCGTTTTTCAAATGAGCAAATTATTCTTTACTTAAATGATGACATTTTCCTCTTTTATTGAATTCTGGCTATGGCCAATACATGGGTTTCTTAGTACTTATTCTATTCTTCTGCTTCCTGCTTCATCCTCCTTCTTGCATTGATATTTTTATAAATTTTCTTGTTGTTCTATTTTTTATTTTCTATTTCTTACAGGTGATAATCATAGAAAAACTTCGTAGTACACCCTGTCAATAATTTCAAGTGAAATAAACACAATTCAGTCCGTTAAAGAAATTCCTCAGAAGAAGAAAAAGCAGAAGAAAGCTTCTGTTAAGGATGAAGAAGAAAAAGTTGAAGAAGAAAATACTGAAGAAGAAAAAGCTACTTGTTAGTGAAACCTCGGTATTTACTTGGTGTAGTGTTGATTTAGATACTTGGTGGTGTTTTTATGGATTTCTAGGTATAGGGAAGTAGAGAAAGAATGATTTTATCAACTTGTAAGTTGTTTAGTAGTGTTGATTTGGATCGAAATTAGATAATTAGTTTGAATCAAAATTAGATTTTTGTTAGTCTTTGAATAATGTAAAAATGGTGGTTATATTTGAATTGAAATTGGATCTTTTGTGTTGACTTTTGATTATGGTGAATTTTGTGGTAGTTATACTTAAATTGGACCTTTTGTGTGTACTTGAAATACTTTGTCATTTATACCTAGCGTTTATTTGAACTATTTGCTCATTTTACAAATGAGCATCGAACTATTTGCTCATTTGACTAATGAGTAAAGAAATATTTGCTCATTTGTCAAGTCAGCAAATAATTGATTGATCATTTCACAAATAATTGAAATCTCATTTGACACATAATTGATTTTGTTAAGAAATATAAAATCAACAAAATTAAAAACACAAAATTTCTATATGTTCGATAAATAATGAGCGGATGTGCTAAAAATATTAAATCTTATATGTATATAAAAGTATCATTTCACGTTTTTGGACAATTTCTAATATCATGATGACTCAATTCACCACAACTTCTACATAATCTCTTCTTTTTCTGGTTTTGTTCTACACCCTTTTCTTTTTCTCCCTTTAGCCTTTTTGCACTTCTACCTCTTGTTTCAACATTTGACATATCAATCTCAGCCCCTTTCTTTTTTTAAGTCTCTTCATTTGATACATGAACTCCAGTCCATTTATTCTTTGAAATTTTTGGAGATTTGACAATTATTTCAGTTGGCACACTAGCTCCAATCAATAGCTCAATTTCTTGTTCTTTGTTGTTTACACTTCCAACTGTTGTTTCATTATTTCTTTTAATCCTCTTAGCCTCCAAATCCTTTCTTATTCCTTGAAGATTTATCACAAGGTCTTGAATATTTTCATCTTTGCCTTCTGCCAAACTTACACAAGTGTGTATCACTGACCATAAATCATTTAACAATTTTTTCTTGTCAATTATATTAGCACATTGCTCCAACAGGTTTCTTCTCAAGTAAAAAAATGGTTTCTTCAGTGCCATAGTAGTCCATCTGTTTAGCATATACTGCTCAGGAATGGTTTTAAACCTTTTTTCTTTCCAAACCCAAATCATATGTCTACATGGAATTCCTTATCTATAAAATAGCTTGCAAGAACATGTGGTGTCATAGTTAGTTGGATTAAACACAACATCAAATGTTCTAGTCCGATTTCCTTCACTTACTTTTGCAACTTCAATCCATCTTTTTTCTTCAATTCATCAACACCGCAATAAAAACAAGCACTTTCAACCTCATATTGAAATTCATAAAAGACAGAGTTAGTATATAAATGTGAGGCATGTGGTATTTTGCACTCAGGATATTTGTGCTTTGAATCATTATCATTCTGGCCTTGAGTGTGTCTCTGAGCATCAATTGCAGCTTCAAATCTCAAGTAAAACTCAACATGTGACACATGAGGATTGATAAAGGAGCAGAGAAAGTTGTTTTCACTTTCGGATCTTGATGTTGTACGCATTATTCCTCTAAGGAACACATCTCTAATATACGCCAGAATCCACTTGTTCATTATCTTGTACTTATAACCTAACCACTCATGTTGTTCCAAGTGGTATTCAACCATCACCTTGTTCCACCTTTCTTCAAACTCAACGAGTTCAATTTCAAGATGCCTAACACAAGCACATAATTTTTTTAGGAAACCAGTTTCTTCTTGCATGATTGATTTCTCCACCTTGTCTAGTAACTTTTTCATTATGTGCCACATACAGAACCGATGTTCAGTCTTCTTAAACACACTTGTAACATCAATTTTCATTGCTGGATCCTGATCCGTAATAATATAATTAGTTCATTCCCACCCATTGCCTTGAGAAATGATCTGAATAACCACTCAAATGACACAATATCTTCCTTTGCTATGAAACCAGCAGCAAAAGTAATGAAGCTTTTATGATGGTCAACCCCTGTAAATGGAGTAAACACCATGTTGTACCTGTTTACACATACAGATTAAATTCAAATAATTCAATGCTCATTTCACAAATGAGCAAATAATTGATTGCTCATTTGTCAAATGAGTAGATAACTCAATGCTCATTTGTGAAATAAGCAAACAATTCTCTGCTCATTTGTCAAATCACTACTAGAAATAGGCCGTTTTCCGACGGAATCGTTCCAACGGACTTAATTTCCATCGGAAAATTCGAATTTTCCGACGGAATTTGGGTTTGTCAGAACAGTCCATCGGAAAAGATAGGTTTGCGACGGAAAATCCCTCGAAAATATTCCGACCATTCCTATTCATTTCTCTTTCCGAACCTCTTCTTTCTCTCTCCTCTCTTCTGGTTCTCCTCTCATTCTCCTTCTCTATCTTTTTGATCTCCTCCTTCTCTCCTCTTCTTCATTACAATCCTAGATTCGTTTTCTCTCTCTTCTCAAACTGCTCATTCGATCCTTCCCTTTCTCGGTTTCTCATTCCTTCTTTTGATGCGGCGTTTCGCGGCTTCTCACTGGTGCTGTGGTGGTGTGAGGTGTCCGCCTCTGCTGGTGGTGTGAGCCCCAGCAGCAACGACAACCCATAAACAGCTTCCCTCACTCACGGCTCCAGTTTTCCGACGAATTTTCCGGGAACGACTGAGGTTCGGCGTCGAAACGATGCTTGACTCGGTTTCATCAACAACAACCTAAACATCAGTTGTAGATCTTGTAATTTAGGTTTGTATTTAGATCTAGTGTTTTTTTTTTTTTTTTAATAAATGTTTAGATCTAGTTAATTGTATATGTAATTGTAATGTTAATTTATAAAATTTATTAGACAATTATATATTAATACATTTCTATTAATTTTCCTTGTTTAATTTTGGTTTTTTGAATTTTTTGTGGTTTTTTTCCGGTTTTAAGGGTTAATAATGGTGGTGTCGGTGGTGGTGGGGTAGGCTTTTCTGGTGGTGTCGGTGGTTATGGGGTGGGGTTGTGGTGGTGTGGGTGGCGTGGGGGAGGTTTGGTGGGTTATTTGGTGGTTCTGGGTTGGGTTTGGTGGGGTGGGGTGTATGGTCTGGGTGGGGTAGGTGTCTGGGTGGGGTGGGGTTTCTAGGTCTGGGTGGGGTGGGGTATGGGTGGGGTGGGTGTCTGGGTCTGGGTTGGGACGTGGTGGGGTGGGTGGGTGTCTGGGTCTGGGTGGGGACTGTGGTGCCGTTTTTTTTTTTTTTTTTTTTATTTACTTTTCCGACGGAATTTTCCGTCGGAATTTACCTTTTCCGACGAAAAATTTCTTCGGAATGTCTCCCCCACCGACGAAAATTTCCGTTGGAACATATCTTACTCCGATGAAAATTTCCGTCGTAACCTTGCGACGGATTTTCACTTAAAGTCAACAAAAGCGCCGACAAAACATAATCCGACGGAATATCGTGAAATTCCTACAATGTGTATTCCGACGATGCGTTCCGACGGAATATCGCGAAATTCCTACAAAGTGTATTTCGACGATGCGTTCCGACGGAATTCCGTCAGAAAAGGGCATTTCCGACGAAATTTCAAGGTTTTTTTAGACGGATTTAAATGAACAAATAATTCAATGCTCATTTGTCAAATGAACATGCAATTCAATGCCCATATACATACTCTTATCAAAGACTATTAGACTTATGGGGATATTCACTTAATTATCACATTGAAGTAAGCAAACAATTATACTAAGTTCATTTAAAACAAAGTCATTAAGTTAAGCCATATTTATAACATAGAAATGAATTGTGATGATTATGAATTACCTATTGGTTTGGTATGTGGTATCAAAGGATACAATATTACCAAATAGAGCATAACACTTTTTACAAAGGGGGTCTGCCCACAATGCTCTACAAAAGCAATAATCTTCATCCATCTCAAAATCAAAGAAAAAAGCGCTCCACATTAGCTTTTTGTTGGTAAAATTATCCACGAACATTTAAGCATCGCTTCCTTGAATGTATGCTTTAAATCTTTATGAAAATTTTTGAAATCTTGTTTAGATGCACCAATGTTATCATATCCTCCAACAATTTCCTTCATCATTCGAAAAGTGTTGGGTTTCGTAGAGTCCGACTCTACGTAGAAGGGAAACCCACCTAAGATCCGCACACGAATTAAAGCGACTAAGCATGCAATCACTAATTAAACAACAATTAAGAGAGAGAAGAAAAGATAGTCTTACCCTTGGCGCGTGCTTCGCTCAAATCTCGAGCTCTTACTTGAACCCCGCAAATGCGAAGGTCTCCGACAGCTCGTACCCACGAACCCGACCCGAACAATCCAAGTCCCGAAGGTTAGTCCATACCCAACCAATAAAAACTAGAGTTTTACAAACTTAAGATTTTCTCACTTTTCTAAGGAGATGCCTTTTTAGTTCCACTCAAGTGTTCTTCCCAAATCCAAAAACCTTGGTATTTTTAGGGAAATGAACCTTGAATTCCCACTCTCAATCAATGTGGGAGATATGCAATTTTCCCATTTTTTTTAATTAAAACAAAATTAAAATTGCAATTCAATCAACAAGTTACAAGTGGCACAAGCAGGATGAAAGATTAGGTGAGGACCATTTCAAAGAGGGGGGGACCATAGCCTTTCTCCCCAAGGCAAAGCCCACAACCCTTGGTCCCCACTAGCAAACCGACACTCCCCTCCATGTGGCTAGCTGCCAGCCTGCCTTGGCTGCCAAGGTTGTCAGCTAGCGCCTAGCACCAAGGCTAGGTAGTTAGCCAGCACACACGCACACAGCCCACATGCATGTGCAGCCAGCCAGCACAAGGCCAGCCAGCACGCAATGCATCGCTGCCGCTTGGTGTGTTGTGCTGGGCGCTGCAATGCTAGGCACACGGACACACACGCACAGCCCAGCACGCTGCTGGCTAGCACATGGTGTTGTGCAATGTTGTGCTAGGCACACGCACACACACGCACAGCCCAGCTCACTACTGGCTGGCGCATGGTGTTGTGCGATGCTGTGCTAGCGAGGGTGCTAGCTCCTAGCATCACGCATAGCGTAGCACGCCTAGCATGCTTCTATTCGATGGTGCGTGGCTGCGATGGCTAAGCGCCTAGCACACTAGCAAGCACGCAAGGCTACGATGCTTACGAGTAGTGCTAGGCTATTCCCTGCGACGTGCGATGGCTTGCCAGCACGCATTGTCCTAGCACGCCTAGCATGCTAGGCTTGTGGCTAGCATTACGATGAATCTTGCTAGCTCGAGATAGCCTAGCCCTCGCATGGCTAGGCCAATGCGAGGCTACGACCTAACTCAAACTTGTAACTTGATTGATTTCGCGTCTCGTCGAATTCTAAATTCGACTCGACTTACGACGCTCGGTCTTGACGCTCTAAGATCGATATCCGACGTCTTTGTTCGTAAAACTCTGACGACTCATCAAATCTTTCGAATTGACTCGTCGTCTCAGATCGGTTGTTCGATTGGGTTTGACCCGAAGGGTTCAGTCAAGATTAAGCTGTAATATTAATTGTACATTAATATTACTGATTGGAAGCGGCATCCACTTAGGTATTCCGATCACTTGACCTTAGTGAAGAATTAGCTATCCAATAATTCTTAACCCTCTGTCGGAATAATACACTTGTTGGAAGGACACCATTCCTTTCAATCTCCCACTTGTCCTTCCGGACAAGTGTGCAAATTGTGTAAAGCCCTTTTCCTATGTCACTTAATGTCTCTTCATGAACTATAAGGTAAGACTCTTCATCATCCTTATTACGTCCAGAAGTGTTTCTCGATTCCCTAGTTCGACTGTCAATAAACAGATGATTTCCAAAATCCATCTGAGCACGACCATGCATTTTTACAGTCTCGCTCATCGAGAGGCCTAGTAAACGACAAAGACATATTCCCTATTGTTAAAAGGGGGACATTCTCAGTCTTGTACTGTAACTTGCCTTACTAAGAGGACCTAGTCGCCTGAGTGCTTCCGTTATAATCCCCATTTACGGAAGACGTTTGACAACATCAAAACGACTAGTACTCAAACAAGAGAACTTGCAATACTCATGGTCGAGGAAAAAGGTTCCGATAGCAATAATGAGAAATATACTTATGACGATTTGATATCTCTTAAAGTATTCTCATAGGTCTATCCGGTGTAGTTCCAAACTAGTACCTGTGCAAATGATTTATGACTATCATGTACTTGTAGCACAAGAAACGGTGCCATAAATCATACTAAACACTAACCTCAAGTGGTCATTAATCGTCCATCATTTAAATGACCTCGATTAGGGATAATTTTCGATTAAAATATTCAATGTTCACTTAACAGGTGTTTCTTTATCCAAGACATGGTCTTGATACCCTGTTTTGAATATTCTCAAAAATCGAATGGACTCATTATTTAATTCTAAACCACAATTAAATAGATATGGAGTAATCATAAATTTAATTGCTCTAAAAATTGAATGGTTCAACATAGTGTTTTACATTAAGACATCGAGTATAATTAAAACATCTATACAGGGAAATCAAAGCCAATCTCCAATATGCTTGATTCCCATTGCCTTAACGTGCTTGTTGTGCTTCACTTGAGATAAAGGTTTAGTCAAAGGATCGGCTACATTGTCGTCCGTTCCAATCTTATAAATTCTGATTTCACCTTCGGATTTCCATTACCTTATCATGTGAAATCGCCGCTTGACATGTTTGACCTTCTGAGGTTCCCTTGGCTCCCTGGCCTGAGCAATAGCTCCATTGTTATCACAATAGAGGTCTATTGGACCCTTGATTGAGGGTACAACACCAAGTTCACCAATGAACTTATGAATCCAAACTGCCT